TTCATGCACGAGCTCCGCGCCAGGGTGCCCAAGCACCGCTTTGGCTTCCTTTACGAGAACGTCGACATGGACCAGGCGGCCGCCAAGGTGATCTCGGACGGCTCGGGGTCCAGCCGGTCTTCGCCTGCCCGTCCTATTTCGGCTGGGTATCCAGGCCGCGCCTGTGGTGGACCAGCGTGGACTGGACCAGGTTCCAGGTCGATCCAGACGACGGGGCGCCGTTGGAGTGGGCCAAGAAGGGCCGATGGGAGCGCCTGCGCCTGGCCTCCGCCAGGCCGTCGGCAGACACCTTCGACTTGGTTTCCACCCTGCCGTCGCGACAGGTCGGCGCCTTAACGCCGGCACCCACCGACGAGGGCCGGCCCAAACCTCGGGCCACTAGAGGGAAGACGTCCAAGGACACAGACGCCAGGTGGAGCGACGGCAAGCGCCAATACGCCCCGTGGCACTACCAGCTTGAGGCCATGCTCCAGGACAGCCAGGGCGTCCTGCACCTCCCCACGGCCGAGATCAAGGAGCAGCTGCACGGCATCCCCACCGGCTACACGGCCCAGGCGGGGGCCGACGACAGGACTCGCCACCGTATGATAGGCAACGGCTGGCATTGGGGAGTGGCCGGACGCATCCTGGGCTTCGTCGTCCTGGCCGCCTGGGCGGCCGCACTGGCGGAGGCCGGCCGGCTGCCATCCTCGCCTAAGACTTCTACATTGCAGTGGCTGACCCAGGCCTGCTCGTGGGATTTCTCCCCCCCGCCCAGGCCGTCCCCACCAGTCCTCGGCGAGGGACTCGACATGGAGCAGCACTGGGCCTCGGCGCCGCTTATGCAGCACTCCTTAGCCAGGCGCCCGGCGTTGGAGCCGGCGCTCTCGGCGGTTATTGAGTTCCGGCGGCAATGGCGACACGACCTTTGCCGCATCCGCCGGGAGGTCATCGCGGAGCTCCTCGTCCTGGTGGAGGAGCGCGAGGACGACACCCGGGCCTGGCTCCAGGAACTGCCGGCCCACGTCAGGGCTACCTACACGACCTCGGACCGCCCCAGGCCTTTTCAGGGGCCAACCTTCCTGGGCCTGCTCCGCGACCTCGGCGACCGCGGACGTTGAGGAGGACCTGCGCCTGGGCTTCGACATGCTGGGGCCGGTCCGCCGCGCGCCGGGCTGGAAACCGCGGGCCGACGAGCGTTATTCTAACCCCTCAGGCCTGGATCGCCTGCGGCAGGAGAATCCGCCTTACGTCGCGGCCAAGTGTTCCAGGGGCGCTCCGGCGTCCACACAGCAGCCCTTCTGGAGGAGCTGGTGCAAGAGGCCCGCCTGGGCCGGGTCCGGCCTTGCGCCGCTCCCGACCACTGGTCCGTGGCAACCTCGGCGCTTCCCTGGACGGCTGACATGCGCACCTTGCGCCAGCCGCCGCTGGGCGACTGCTTCGCCGCCCTCTCCTTCGCCATCTGCCAGGTCGACGAGAACGGGGACCTCAAACTACGCCGGGGTGAGGATTGGCGGTCGGGCCACAACGCCACCATGAG